GATTATTTTTCAAGAACATTAAATGGTCACGAAGGAGTTCACAGTTCATGACTCAGAGTTGAATTCTACCCCATCTTGACCGTAAAATGACAATGCGTAGCAAATACATCTGAGAAAATATAAATATAAACTGCAGTTTAAGAAGCACATTTCACGACCATGACGTAAGATACATCTCAGTTCTCAAAAATATAATACGATTAAAAAGAATGACGAGGAAAATAATTTCACCTAATGCCTTTACTCTTAACGAAGTTATGCAAAATACGTCATCATTATTCCTACCCCTCCCCTCAAAATACAATTTTATGCAACAGCTATTCCAGCATGCATCACAACACTTTTTCGATCTATCAGCGAGAACCAACGAAAGGTTAAACACTGAATATTTCGATAAAAAGGTTCAATATTATGTGCCCAGTTTTGGTGTATGATCTCTGTGCATTATGCCTTTTTATTTGCCTCTTTCGATTGTCCAAATCGTGTGAACCTGGACAATATCTAGCTTTATTCTTAGATGAAGCTTGTCATCCCTGCCCGGATAAATTGGAAAATTGTGAATACCAAGGAATGGACGCTAAGGAATGCGAGGATTCTTGTAGTAAGTGAACCATTCATTTTTATTGACTTGAAATTATGACTTCGAAAGGAAATATTTTGCCTTCGATATTTTGACTTCGAATTGTTTATTACCTTCTTTCTTAAAATTCTATGCGGAAGCTTGTGTCCTCTTCAAATAAAAGTTATATTAATTGGACTCATAAATCAATACAACAAATTAGGTATCAAATCATGAAATCAATCAGAATAGCTTTAATGCCACATTATTATTCGTAGACATCGACCAATTGAGGATTTTAATCTATTAAAAATTTTACTTGCATAGCTCAAATTTTTTTTGCTAATTACATAATTTTTTAAATTTGACTGTCAGTATTCAAGAGCAATATAAACACAATTCACGTGCTCAGAAGAACAATTTATTATTTATAAGTTTAAGTTTGTCGATGTATTATTGTCATATTGGTTTGAAAGAGTGATTCTAAGTTCAGAAACTTTCAGACTGATTCACTCAAGCGATGGAAGCATTTGAAAAGACATTCAATTTGGCGACCGACATTTGCCTGCCAATTTCTAGTAAAAGCTAGATATTTTAGTCCAGATATACATAGCAAGCGTATCGAAGACATTGACCACATAACTATTATGAAAATAATTTATGCGCTGTTGTATATACGACAAACAAGATGAAACGCCAAACAAAGGCTAAAACCCTCCCGTCATCCAAAGAATTAATTTACGCCAACGCTCAGTGATAAGACTTTGAATTTGTTATTTACGTCCAATCCTTCTGTATTCATTTAAAATTAGTGCAATGAATTTTTGAATGACTGGGCCTTATGTCTCTTTTCCACTGATCGCAAAAATCTCTCGCTTCAAGCTTGAGAGTCTGTTCGCACAATCAACAAATTTTGTTCAAATAATTTAACTATGCTGCAAGTCATAGTAAGCTCGCTGCGAGCTTACGAGTACGTTTTGCGATGAGTGGAAAAGAGCCTTTATGGAACGAGTTTGTCATTGTACAATTTTTCCTAAGGGGATTCCCCCATGTGTCAACAAGTGCTCAGGACATTTTTAAATCTTGACAACCATGCATTGGGATAATCATAAAAAAAACAGCTTGCTATATTTCATTAAACAAATCCCAACAATGATATTATATAAGTATACAACCGTGGATAGCTTAAGCCAAATGGGGCAAGTGCCCCAGCAGTTATGTATAAATGAAATGCACTGCATGCGCTTCAGTTTGGCAAAGGACAAGTACAGTTACAGTGAGCAGTATTTTCGACAATGGCTGGCATTTCTTATCGATTGCATTTTATGCTCATGCACTCTTCAAAATCATTTTGAAGAGTTCACTCAACTGTTTCTACGGTTACATCGGACAAATAATTATATTTGCATAAGTTCAAATTATAATTTGTTCTTAAAAGGTTTGTATATGATACACATTCACTAACGTTTTCACTGCAGAATTCTTATTTTCAACGTCTGTTTCATCGATTACCAGAATGGGTACATCGTCAACAAGTACAAAATACGACATTATGACAACCAGTCCTAAACTTTCAAGTCTCAAGAGAATCTTGACCACAAAAAACGGTTACAAACTCCCGAAAAAAACCCATGCAGATACAAAAGGATATCTATCTACGTCCAGTGAAATTCATAGCGATGAGACGTCGACCACTTCTCACTCAGAACATAAATGGATCATACCTGTTTCAGTTACAACACCTACGATCGTCGTCTTGTTGGTGATATTAGTCATCTTTATACGTAAGAATGCACGAAAACGGAAAAAGAATCAGTGGGGATCAGAAAAAAATTTTAATGCTTTCCCAAACAGTTACAACTGAAGACAGTCGTACATATTTTAAGATCTCAAGGATTTTATCTTACAGTTCAGAAATAAGATTTTAGACAAAAAAAAAGAAAAAAAAATCTTCAATAGTTTCTACAAATAGTTAGCACTTATATACTTATTAACACTTGTAATAACAAACGGCAATTTTGGTGAGGATATGTTACACTAGATTATATGCTGCACTTGTTGTCTGAAAATACATTACTTGTTTATGCCATAAATTCAGAACACGGCACTTTGAAATACATATAATTAGATTAAAAGTAAGCTTCTGCAATCACATGTAGATTGAGAGCAGTTTCTGGAGAGTACTTTCCCTTTCTTTTTAAATGCCATATGAAGTGTATATTATTGACGAAGATATTCAAGCCAATCCACTGACTGTAAACAGTTTGGACGTACATCTGATTCTGCAAGCCTCTGAGTGTTTGTTGTACCGATTGAGTTTTAACTGTTTGAAATTGTTTCGATTAACAACATGATTACAGGCTGCATCATTTTCCAAACTATAACTGGTTCACAAGATTTTCCTTTGCTAAGCTGATACCTGTATGTGTAGGAGCAGCTTATCCGCTAACACAATAATACGAGATTTATTAATGTCTAATGTCTTTTGTAATCACATTATGTTTTTTCTGAGCTCCCTAGTTGTTGTAACTATGTTGGCTACACTTTTCTAAGTCAAAAATTGCTTTATGCAGATAATTAGAGCTTCTTTCCTTCAGTTTCAGACCGATTTAAATTTAACTTTTTTCGTAAAGAAACGAATTAATCATTAGCTATTTACTAGACCTCGATAAGTTTTAGTGTATTTTGACCGATAATGAGGGGTATAATAAACATGTAGATTACTTAATACTTAATACTGTAATTAGAGTAAATAACGTTCTTCCAAACGTTCGCGATATGATTTCACCAAAAAATTTTGTCCACTAAAAATATACAATTTGATATAATGGTTAACTAAGATCTCAATAAGTTGTGAATGTATATTGTAAGTGATATTGCATGTTAATATGTGTAACGGAAATAAGTAATTACGTGAATATAGTTGGTAAACAAACGTCTGGAAAGCGCTCGTAGTTTTGGACGAGTGAACGTTTCTCCTTTTTAAAACTTACCACTAGAATTTTGGCGTTATCACGTAGTACATCAAAAACTAATATGCGCCAAGTGCCTGTCAAAACTATACTGTTTATGTCAAGTGTCCACGTAGCCGTGGGGTTGCTCAATGACTGTAATCCAGGCGAATATCTCAGCGCTTTCTTACATTGGACTTGCCATAAATGTCCGAAGAAATTAAAGAGTTGCGAGAATCAAGGACGAGATGCAGATAGATGCTCTAAATCGTGCAGTAAGTGAAAATTGAACGCAATTGATATTTTTTTAACATAAGGATCAATAGCATATGCTCTATTGATTTCTGTATGAAGGACAAAAATTTAACACGTCAAAGTCAGAATCTGCTCTCAATCCAAATTTTTCACATTTTAAATGCTTGCTTAGTCTCCAGTCCAATTTTAAACGACAGAAAAAGCAGTTTTCGACATTTATAAAATGCGAAGGACAAGGGACTTCCCCAAAACAAGCTGGGGAATGACCGAAATACTTGAAATAATATTTTGTTAGCAATTTTCGGATGTTGGTTTTAATTCTTTTAATGAAATATCAGCTGTGAATATTTTTTGGAATATATTCTTGTTTTTGATGGCGGGTTTACTAGCGCACCAAATACAAATGTTGTCAAAAATCTTTTCCACAGCATAGGCAACATCATATTAGCGGAAGCAAATATACAAAACAACGATTTAATTACTGCTTGATGACTGCACGACATTGATTTTGAGATAGACAACATATTTTTCATGCAGAGCAAATCAGAGAAATCATTCATGAAATTGATATCAACTTCAGTCTTAGGTTTCTTTATAAACACGAATTATGACTAAGGATTTACCTGTCCAAGTTTCCATTCTATGGAAAGATGACAGTTAATTGACGATTAATTAATTTTTGCAAATTTTAAAAAACTTTAAAAACCTGACGTAAATCTTTTCCAGAAAGCTGTTTTTTTTTTCAAATTCTGGTGTAACTTTAACAGACATCATAGACTTTTTACATTCTCAACAAATTGTGACATCATAGATTCTTTTTACATTCTCTACAAATTGCGATGTTTACAAGAAACCGTACCTACCTCAATTAATATAAAACACAAAAGTGTTCTAATATTGTTTTAGTTGGAAAACTGTGTACTTTGCCGGTTTTCATCATTATTTTCACCATTTGCCGGAAATGCAAAGCGTAAAAATGAATGAATGTTTTGATGACGCAGTATAGCGGGTAAATTATTCAATGTCGGTAGTGTAAAGTAAGTTTCTTGACCATTTTCTATATACACCTTAACTACTTTTAGAAAATTCCTCTGACCAGTATATTTCCGTCAACGACCACCAAAAATTTTTCCACGACCGCTATTGATTTGAAATCAACTAGCAGAATAAACCCGACAACAACGATTGGCTTCAATAGTGCAACCAGCCCAATCCATAGGATCAGGAATGAAATAAAAGAACAGTTACCCGGAAACACCTCCAGTGAGATGCGTAATAGGACGTTAGCTTTTCCACACCACAGCGGACGGTGACAGAAAGTTTGAGTCGAAGAGGTTTTTGGAAAAAATCGTGGATACCTCTTACACTTGCTATTTTGCTTGTAATTGTAGTCGTAGCTTTAGGAGTTATACGAAAGTTGTTCGTTTGTAAACGTGGAAAAGACAAACAGATAAATGAACCAGAGCAAAATATCTCGATGATTTCAAGCAGGTAAGCCAGAGCATTTCTCTATAAATTACGGGTTTATTAAGTAGAATTTTTGATTTTGGAGACTTAGCTTCCACTTCTCATGCACGATTTTACGAGCAACAGCATTTAATTTTCTGTAGCTAAAAGTCGAGGTAAACTACAACAAACTTTTGTGAATATTTTGTGTTAAGAAAAGTTTTAGTTTTAACTCTCAGACAAGCAAAAGAGTGCGAGAGAAAAATACAGACCAGAGCCCTCTATAAGAAAGAGTTGGGACATCTATTGTTATCCGTTTAGCTTACGTTGATTGGGCAATATTGATCACCTGATCAATTTCCGCCATTTTGGTTCCTAGTTTTGAAATTTTGAGCTAGTGTTTATATAGCAATTGCTTCTAGTAATACAGTATTTTGAGATAATATTTCGTTTTTTTATGGATAAGTGTGTAATAACTGATTGTTGACGGCTACTAAATGTCATTACATATCGCAAGAATCGAGGATTACGAAAAAAATGAAAGAAATGCCTTTACGTCGAACTTACGAAATTTGATTGCGTATGGTGATTGTTGTGCTGAACTGCTTTTGATATAAGGTTCAATTAACTGACTCAAGTAGAGAAACATTTTTGGGCCTAATAACATTGCAAAGTTCGTGCTGATGCAGTTTCAATAGTTTTCATGCTTGGATTAAATTGGGGGTGGGGCATAAGCCACTCACTACCATTAAATTGTTACAAATCTTGAACACAAATCTTTCCGGACCAAAACTTCGTGATTACTATCATACGAAGTTTTGAACAAAATTGTCCAACTATTTGATAACACTGATGCCAGGATAACATTGCCGCTTGCCACCAAGCTTAAAGATCTTGAAAACTTGTTACAGAGTCGGAACATAAGCCGATAAAACACGTTCACGTACGAAAAATACTTCTTACAATGGGTCACGATCAATTTGAAGTACGAACTAGTAAACCGCAAACGAAGCTCAAACTAATGAAATTAAATCAGGTCAGCCGCAAATCGCTAAAAACGCAAAGAGCTTCCTATCATTCCTAATATATTTGATACTACCATGGAATAAGCTTAAATTGCCTTCTTCTTTTGCATATAAACCCAATTTCCAATAGTATTATTATAGTTTCACTTTGCAAGTAGGAACCAAAATGGCGGCTCCGCGCTCGCCCCAGACCGTTTGTCCCAACTCTTATTTATAGAGGGCTCTGATGCAGACTACCAATGCAAACATTTATGCTCATTGTAAAAAGCTAATGCAAACGTTGACAGTAATGTCAATACATGTTTGTAAATAATGATCGTCCAGGTTAATAAAGTCCTGAGAAGGACTGTTTTGTTATTGTTGACTGACGTTTCGACAAACTTAGCGGTAGTCATCTTCAGATTCAAATGATGAAGACGACTACCGCTAAGGTTGTCGAAAACGTCAATCAACTTCTTCTCAACATCATCAAACATGTAACGATACTCGAGTTCAAACCATTTACTTTAGTAATGTCAACACTAAATGCTATTGCTAATGTGAATGCTGATGTCAATGCTAATGCTAATACAAATGTTAATGCTGATGCTCATACTAATATTATTGCAATTGTTAATACTAATGCCAATGCTAATTTTAATGTTGATGCTATAATACCACGCTATGCTACTACAATAATGTCATTATATTTTACTGTTATCAAGCTATAGCAAATAGCTCGAGTAAACCAAAGCCACTCCAGTTCATGTTGAGATAAAAGTATCATCTAAACTGTATGCACAAAGGCAGAAGGTATTTGGAAAAGTCCTTTATGAACTGGACTACTAAGCAGCGAAAATTTTAGCAATAGTAAATCGAAAGAAAATGAAGCATGCATTCAATTAAAGTATTTTTACCAGTGCCCAAGAAGGCACTCTAAGCTTTGCATGTTTACATTGTGGGCATGTTCACATACTACGAAAAGTAAATTAATATCTTGTTACAGTGATGGAAATCAAGTTACTTTGCCAGAAACAACCACATCTGATGTCATGGACATACATGAAAATCTGAGAAATAAATTCTTTGAAGGATCACTTTGAAGTTAACTGGATCTCAAGACTCGTAAATATCATAAACAATTATTTAAGTTTCAATGAGAAGTTTATTAAGACATAGATACCATTTGTGTATTTGAATTTTTTCATTTTTTGTCGGACAAGAACAACCAATTAAGTAATACAGCATTTGTACATCACGAGCCCTGATGGTCTGAAACTTCGTTAATTATCGACAAGTTGAAAAATTTCATCAAGAATAATATAAAAATCGCAAAAGCAAAACGTGCATGGATTATCGAATTTGTTAGTTTATTTTAAAATTTTCTATTAATTTGTTAAATTTCGTACTTTGTTTGAATTTTTGACATTAAAGTAGCTGATCTAATTAGGGTTTTTGAAGTATTAGCGTCTATACATTACATCCGTTATTTTAGGCTACATCGTCTATTTCATGATTATAAAAATAGAAACACGTTAAGACGAAAATTTCTATAAAAATATTACAAAAATCGTAAAAACAAAAAAAGATATCACAGTTTTGATAGTAGTTCAATTAGTTCGGATACATTTATGAATGATCTTTGTTTTGAATTGAGAAATTTTATTTTTTGTGTTAGAATTTTGATATTTGAGTAAAGTAACAGTTGCTGAAATATTAGCGTATATACACATTATATTGTCTTTTTCATTACTTAAAGATCACATGGACAAGTCGTACTATATATAATTGTTGCGTGACATGGAACTTGCCCTAAAAATCCATTTAAAGTTACTTTCGGTGCCAAATGAGCTTCATAATCATATGTCGAAAAACCTCTTGAATACATTCTCTCAGTGTAACACACAATTCACTATTTAATATTTAGTATATTCATGCTCTCTTTTTTCACTCTTTTTGAATAATAGATTTGCTTTTTCAAAAACCTGTTTAAGGGAGCAGGGCCCGATACCTGTTTAGTTGATTTGCTTTCAACCAAAGTCTAAATAAGAACTTTTAAAATTATTTTACTTTATTATCTCAGCTATACACGTGAGATTCTGTAGTCTTGACGAAAATAGGCAATTATTCATGGTACGCCTTCTTGTGTGATCACCAAAAAAAAATTATGTTATATTTTGTATTAAAATTTTGATATAATTATCTATTATCTATTGCCAAAGGCAAATTATGCATAGGTGACATGTCGAAACTGGATCTGCTGGGACATTTATGGTATATGTGCCTTATGTTGAATTTAGGAGTGTAAATTTATTGAATAATATCTCAACCTACAATCCAAAACAGTTCAAAAGAAATTCTGCATAACTTTTGATGCTCATACCTTTTGGTGATTTTGTATTTTTTTCTTGACATTTAAGAAATATTAATATAGAAACACTTCTTTCTCAGCAGCCAATCAGAGAGAGTTTACCTGTCACCTATGTAGATGGAGCAATGAAATTATGTAATGCATGCATGTCATTTGTTTGAAAAACACTATAATATATTTATACATTAGATGTATTTTATTTTATTTTGTCACTGCTGAGATGTCATATAGTTTAATTAAAAGACTTTTTTTTCTTAATTTCGTCCTAGATATTTGGATGGTTTGTAGCCACCATATTTGCAATGAGCAAAACATTTAAGCGAGTCTTTCACAATTCTAAGCACATTTCGAGCACTTTATTTAATTTTTAGTTTTTAGTTTTCAATGCCCTTAAAATTGAATTTTAATTTCAAAGAAATTTTTAAGCAGCTGCACGAACCCTGAAACGATATGAAAAATGACACAACTGCAAACCTACTTTTAACTGTAAACTTTACCAACTTGGAGAAGTACTAAAATAGCCAATATTAACAATAGCAACAAAACCACAAGCCAGATAAAAATTACAACAAATTAGAACAAATTGCTTTCGTTTTTAATAGGCGTTATGTTGAATTTTTTTATCTAATCTTAACACTAAATGATATTGCTTTAAGATTTGACATTAGTTTATTTCAAAATCTTGCACTTGTTTATACAATGATACAATGATTGCTTTTGTGCTTGCTTACAGTTTTGTTTAACTTTTGTGTTTGTCCATACAACTTTTTCGCAACATGGGATATTCACGTGTAGAAGTCACGAGTTACTCCCAATGTCATCGTTGGGACTAACTTCATGAATTACCAAGAATGAAATTTAGCCTTTCCAACAGCTTTTAAAAGTATTTTCCAGTTTAAATATACTCAAAATAAGCTGTTGTGAATAACAAAAAAGTAAGAAAAATTAACCGTTTTTCAATCGTCACGAAACTGCTTTACCTATACATTTATTTTTACTTTACGCAGACTGCCTGTGGTTAACCACAGTACTGGTCGCGTGTAACTATTTCCCAGGTATTACGTCATATCACAGCGAGTCATTAGTCATGTGACTATGACTTGGGGACATTATTTGAACTAACACATTGTTGCCATTCTCGTTCGTCGAAGGTCAACTTCAACAACAATCCGATGTCATGGATGTTCAACAAGCCATGATTTCGTTAATATTATGGCGTCTTTTCACGCATCTGGATGGGTCAAAAGATTGCGAGCCAGGCAAGTATCGCGTTGGATTTCTTGAAGGACCATGTCATCCATGTCCGAAGAGATTGAACGATTGTAAATATCAGGGCTCGGACGAAGAGAAATGTAAACTTTCATGCAGTAAGTAAATCATCTATCTATCATAAAACTAAAGTCAACAAATATACTATACAACAAAGACAACTAAATAGTTATAATGTTGAGTAAGCATTGTTGTTATTCAAATATTTTTAAAATTCATAGCTGAAATCCCACAAATTCCGGCCATATTCTACAACGAGGGATTTCCCCTATTGTAACAGGAAATCGGATTTCCGTACTCTATTCAACAACACATTCCACTCAACAGTGTTTGCATCGACATGACTTATTTGCTTTAGAAATTGCACTTAGTTTTAATAAGCCAATAAAAATCTTGCTGCTTTAGGTGAACTAAGTTAAATATTAAGCTGTATAATGCTGTAAATGAAAAAGTTAAACGGTTAAGCTGTATAAGGCAAGTTTCAAACGTCGCATTTTGCATGCGCCGAACGCATTTAAGACAGAAAAAATGTGATAAAATTTCTCGATTAATTACATTATTCTTTGGAAGGTCGTAAAATTTCCGAACATATAGCATTATTGATGTCTCTACACGTGTATTGTTTTCATAGTGAGTATTGCCATAGCAGGAGGAAATAGCATCAGTTGCGTAACAGGGGCTTTTACCACATGATACGGGTTGGATGTAGTTCGATCAGATCACAAACACCATAAAATATAATGTTACCTGAACATTTATCAAGTATAATGTATTCCCTCCGCAGCGTCGAAATTTTTGTCTACTCTGACGGCCAGCAAAAGCACACATTCCAGTTCATCTTCCTCAAGAAAACAAAGCAACATTACGATTTCCGTCTCTCAAGTTTCTAAGTCTTGGATAACATTTCAAACAGACCTGACGAGCAGCCCAACGAATGAATTGTCCTTGTCTTCAACTGACCTATTGCTGCAAATGAATCATCCTGCAACCTCAGATACTACAAAGGTCGTCCTTATCGCGGTTTTTGTCCTTTTGGCCATCATTATCGTGATGTTTGTGTTGGGTTGTATCTACAAACATAAACAAAATGTAAAGACCGTAAATGCGTATAATCGCACTATCACTCCAATTCCAAGGTAGGCAGAATTATTGTTTTAAACAGATGGTTATAAATATAAATACAAGGAGAGAAAATTACCTGATACAGTAGAATTGAAGTTTCATGCAACAATAATAAAGTATACATACATGCTTCAAAGACTAATTCTACTATAGTTCAACTATATATGGTAGAATATATCTCATAAAGTAAATGGTTTGAACCCGGGAGTATCGTTACATGTTTGTAAATGTGGATCGTCCAGGTTGCTATAGTCCTGAGAAGGACTGTTTTTGTTGTTGTCAACTGACGTTTCGACAACCTTAGCGGTAGTCATCTTCAGGACGATCTACATTTACAAACATGTAATATAACTCATACTGTTGATACATTCAGATGACATCTATTAATAATAGTGTTTAATTATAATAATCGAAAATGGCAAGTGCTCATAAAAACAGCACATCTGATAAAACAAGCCATTTATCTTTGTTGAAATTTGTATCAAATGATTTACAAAACAGGACAATCTTCCAAAGAGCGGTGGTACCACAAACAGGAAGTGAAGAAATGATGCATTCACGAGGAAACTTGGCAAACTATGATCAATCTTCCTTCTGAACATTTTGGGCAGCTTTATTGTTATCATAGAAAAACTTATGAGCGGTATATTATAGAAACAGTATTGCGTATGCATGATCATTACTATCGAGCTTGATTTAATGAAAGTTCATATGAACAGGCAGACAAGGTAAGACGTATAACTTGCTTAACCAGACCAAGTTGCCCTGAGCATCGGTATACGACGAAATATGCGATCTGAGCTAGCCCAGGACGCAAAGTTTAAATGAGTTAACTACATGTAATTTATATGTGAACAGGCGATATACTGAGTTATTTCTTTTTGTTCTCGTACATGTCTATTTTCCAAATCATTCAAAAAGTTATTGGAAATGCGAAAAAAACAAAGAAGTTAGTTGTGCTATTGGGAGACTGTTTGGCTGGTTAATGCAAGATTTTGTCTTGTTCAGACGAGGTCCAAAGAAACGGGCTGGTCTGCGTTTCTTACACTGGTTTTGGGATCTTGTCTCGAATGAACTGCCCGCCTGGATCATATGAACGTGGTCTGCACCTGAAGATGCATTTTATTTATGATTATGAATTATTACAAATATATATATATTATATACATCATAACATGCCGATTTTGCAGTCGTTTCCTTCTCAGTAAGTCAAGGTGCTCATACCACTAAATTTACACAAGGACGTTTCCACATTTCAGAGTTAACCTGATTAGACTTATAAATCTAATGTAATTTTGCTGCAAAAGTTTTCACTGTACATTTTTCTATAACGGCTAACGATCTTTGAAGTTTTCTTACATAAATTAAAATTCCTCAATATTTGCCCTTGGAGGTAGTGTAGAACATGGTTGTAAATAATATTTTTGTTCAAACTCATGGCATTACATTTTCACTTGAATTGGGTGATTTTGATTTCTATAAGAGAGTTTTACATAACTTCTAAGGTCACTTAACAACAACCAGTGCACATGTAGACAAATTTCCTGGAGTTTTTTGTCGAATATTTCCCTGAGGCCGTTCATCCTTTATTGTTTTAGGTTTTGAGATATCTTCTGCATCAATTGTAAACAACAATTGCACAAAATTTTGCACAGTCATACTGGAGGAACAAGGAACTTCATGAAAGCTAAGACATACGTGTACTTACTGCATAGACTGTTATAAGTGCATGATGCCACACTTTTTCTAATTAGCATTGCCTAGCCATCATCTTTCTTTTTGGATCTTTTTTAATTTCGTGTTTTCTCGTTCTTTTTCTTTCCATTTCCTTTCTTCCTTTTCTTCAAACATCCTTTCCTATAGTGTTGCCGTGCCTTCCATCACTATATGCCTACCATCGTGCTACCACAATCTCCGTCGCTGCTAGCATACAACTTATACTGAAGACAGGCTCACGTGTCATACATCAATAACAATATGAAGTAGATATTCAAAAGTTGCAAGTGCTCATTCAAATTCCACATATGTAATAAAAGAAGTCATACATCTTTGTTGAAATTTTTACCCAATGTTTTACAAAGCAAGAGTGATTCTATAAATGGGGTGGAGCGATGCAAAAAGTATATGAAGGAATAATGCAATAATTGCTGTTACATCTTTTCAGTACATGTTTCTGACAAGACGATTATTTTTGCTTAGGCTTTGATATACACCCAGAAATGAGCCAGAATCATTTTCTCAGAGTATTACACCGTATTGTAAAATCTTAATCAAAATCACACTCACTTCATAAGTGGGGCTTCAAAATCACCTCATAATTATTCGAAGACCGCAATTTCACTCCAGCTGGAGAAGTGGCCTTTGCCATTCATTATAGAGAGCGTAATTTTATGTCGCATTGAGTAAGCGTGAGCTCTTAGAATTCGGACTTAAGCTATCATTCAAGGCATATGGTGCTGATGCAGCTGACATATAATAATATTAGTAAGTTTGGCTGCTTGATTATGCGTAATATAGTTGCTCAGTATGCTTTTCATCACTTGCTCAGCACGATATATAAACACTCTGTGTACATAACCTTTCAATATTGATATATATACACAAATTGTAAGATACAGCGTCACTATGTACATGCGCATTTTTTGCGCACATTGGAACCTGAAAGCTTCCAATGTCATATATTTCAAGGCATGTATTCAAAGCTTCAAAGCATATATATCTAAGTTGCTAGAGAACAAGACGGAATTCATTGTGGCAATCGTATCACATCGATAGCAACAAGATAGCAACAGGAAAGGAGTATCCCAATGACATGTTAACAATCGGTTTCGCTCTTCTATTCAGTATGATGTACCTGGCAATTGAAAAATATTCTCGTTGCTTAATTCACATTTGGGTTATTTTGTTTCCATTTCTTTTTAAGGCTAAAGAGGCTGAAAGAGATTACAACTTAAAACTTCACAAAGTCCTCTTCTCATATTATAACCATGTGTGTAACCAATATAGTTATTAATAAAAATCGCAACAGGAATTTTTCCCCCTAAAGTTAAAGAGCTTCAAAGAACTAAAACCATTCTTGTCCCTTCACTTCGAAGAACACGAGCAAAACCAAAATAAATTGGTGTAGGGTCGTAGCGACCATTGTGATAGAAAATTTTGAATGCTGTAATTATTTAACAGCCATAATGCAAATAAATTCAATTAAGTTAAAAATACATACGGATAGTTCAAACTACTCTTTATTGTGTCAGTATGTAATTTAACTTCTCCACATTACTTCATTGTTGAGATGTTTTCTACTTTCCCTTTACCAAATTGTTTATTATAACATTTCTCACATGTTGCACCCAAATCAGTTAGAACCTGTACCTAAATCAAGAAGTGCAATGATAAAATTAAAAATAACTAATTTGTGCTAGTATCCCATATCAACCTTTCATAAACATTGTTGCGGCCTTGGATAGTTTTTGTAGTTGTGTTCAACCAATTTGTTAAGGCGAAAAGTTGCAATGAATGCCATACTCCAGTTATCAATATCAATAGAGCCCCTGTTTCTATTTTAGATTACACAAAGGGAATTAACATTTAGTATTTCATTCTAAAATTTAATTATATAATGATATAAATAACGATATAAACTTTTAAGCTGCCACTTATAAAGGTAGGGGAATTGCTTAATTAAGACTATAGACAATCATATCTGTCTATACAGCTTTTTAGGGGCAGGGGCAATTTTTACCCCAGATTCGGTTGTAATTTTTACACAATAATTTGATTTACCCCAGCTTCCAATTGCATTGTCCCACTTTTTAAGGTAATTTTTAACTCTTGCATTGTTCTTGCCCTAAGTTTAACTAATAATAAACTAAATCTAGGTATATGCTAGATAATTGAAAACTAAACCATGCACTGCAGTAAAAACTATTATGTAGTATTTACAGTTATCCAGGTAATCATAGCTTGTCCATTGTGAACGAAGTTGTGTCTCATCCTCAAATACACTTGGGAGAATACATTTCATATTAGTTTCTCTAAAAAATGGTCTTTACTGATTGGAATTCATGATAATACCAAGTCAATGCTCAAAAGGTTCTTTTGTATGAACTTATTGATGTTTTCGTACGATTGCTAATGTATTTAAGCTTGTTGACCCTTACGTTTTGCCCATTTTGACCTACACTCAAGAAATTTTTCCATCCTTTGGGATGTAACTCAGCGAAGTTTCTACATAACACTAAATGCCCAGTTCGTAATCAAATTTGAGTATAACTTTCTCTATCCCAGTTTTCTTTATGACAAGAATGTTTCCACTTGCAAAATGCTTGAGGTGAGCATGCGCAGACAGAGTTTCGCAAGTTTGCGAATGCGTAGATAGCACAAAATAATGGCAGCTCAAATTTTTCGAAGCGCGTAAATCGCAAAGTTTGAAGGAAGTATTCTCGCAATTGTGCACCTGTTTCGCTTGGGGAGCAACGGCTTCTGGTTTAGGAAGTTACTATTATCCAAATATTCACGTAAAATTACGTAGCCTCGAGAGGGGTGCAACGGAATCCGTTTTCTGAGCATATTTTCGATGCTCATCCTACGGCCAATAGGACGAAAAAACACATTTCAACGTCGATTGTAGATTAAAACCAATTAAATTTTTAATTCTTCTATCGTCAAACAGCTCTTTCTTGAAATACCAGAAAAAATTTAGAGTATTTACCTATGAAAACTCGGATAAATCAATATAATTTTTTGTAAAGCAAACGCAATATTAGTCAATACAAGTTTTTAGCGGCCATTTAAGCCGACATCACACGTTTCAGGGGTAAATAATTTAGCTTAGTCAAAGCCATTTTGCTGACAATTTTTTGTGCAATCTATATGTATAAATGAAGTCGATTGTCGCCCTTTGTCAGTTCGGATTCGTGAATTTGGACGATCACATGTAATTGGCACGTGTCAGACAGTGGAAAAGATTGCGCGTGCCACTATGGGTAATCAATAGTTAGATGTGCGTGACAGAAATATTTTAATTGCGATAAATAACACGACACTTAAGGCATCAACCCACGCACAACGTATTGACATAAACTTCGTGTCAAAAGTTCGCTTGCTTTGCCACCGATAAACGCTCAAAATGTCAAATGTCATCAAGTCTAGATATTGGAGTACTGATATGCACAATATACTCAAGTATCAATTTCACAGGATTTTCTGTAAACAAATATAAATCAATCGTCAAAGAGAACAGACAGACACAGACACAGAGATACAATAACAATCTCCTTCGTCTTACTGAGTATACTTTTTGCTAATAGATAAAAACAATCCAGAGCATATGAAAGTTGAACAGAAGGAAGCACACTTGACTTACACTTGAAAACATTGTCTTATTAACTATGAAAGAAGATAAAGAAAAACAAACTAACAAGACAGGCGAACATAACTTCCTGGTGGTCAATACTCGTGCACGGATATGTTAATGTCTTTCGCATGAACAGACACAGCGGCAGACAAATATTCGAGAAATGCATGAAAGAGAAGACTCGTGTGACAAACAGCTAATTATATAACGTCTAATGCTTTATTTATTGCAAGCAATTAATTCATAAGAATTGAAAATAAATCGTTAACTATTGTTTTTGTCTCTAACGTACGATATCTTTCACGAAACTGTAGAAAGCGCTTGAAACCAACACAGATACCTTCAGAAATAAAAATTAAGTATCTAATGTATTAGAATGTGATTATCAATGTTTTGCCCTGGGAGGCTCAACTTATAGCTAAGTCAAATAATCTAATCTTAGTCGGTTAAATCGCGTGGTTTAGATAGCATGTGAAATTTGAAGAATATTTTCTAGATCTTTCTATGCTGTTATGGTTCACTAAAAAAATTGGCATGCAATCAACTTAGTCAAATGAGCTAATAAAAACACAAAAACATGATTTGCTAAAGCCATCAAGGTGACGTCATTGGAATTGCGTCAGACATTTTTGTCCACCAAAACACGCCAAACGTTCACTGAATAGTTGTCGGCGCATTATAAGAACATTTTGCTTTGAAATTTAAACTATACTGGAGATATTTTTTACTATCTTATAACATGCATATATTACAGTGGTTCGGGAGTTTGTGTGGTTTATGTTTTATCGCAATTATAGTGGAGTCAAAAACGTGCCCAAAAGGGCAATACCCAAGCAGCTATTTTAGCAAAGATGAATTAAATTGTCAACCCTGTCCTTTACGATGCCAAGATCAAGGATCAGACAGTAAACGATGCGAGGATTATTGTGGTTAGTTGTTGTTATTACCTTTGTTATTATCATCTTTATTATAATAATATTGTCTTCCATTTATTGTTAATACTTCGCGCACATGGTTGGAGACGAATGAAATATAATAATTGTACAACTTATCGCAATTTAAGCTAGGGTTATCCTTCATAGCATTTAAAAAGATAATGCTTGATAGTGAAGCAAGGTAATGATAGAAAACTTTAAATTTATAAAAATTTAAATAATTTCATCATGCCGCAATCGAACGCAAGCGAAAGAATTTTTATAAAGTGTAAGCAGAACTATTCACATTTGTTCGCAAATTCCTTTAATTAAAGTGCTTACGAAACAAAATTATCATTAGCTACACATCATGCTTTCGTGCAAGGAGAACACAAATTTGGCCCTGTTACGCCGATTCAAACGATAAAATATAATTTAAGCAGTATTAAGCGACGATTTTACGATCTAAAAATAGTCTCGACATTGGGCAGGAATAATAATACACTACAGGCCCGTTTACACGGTAATCAATTTTGGCACGGTACTCCAAAATTTAGGCACGCGAACTCATTTTTATAGCACTTGATTTGCGTTTACACGAGCAAATTTTCTCAGTTTGGCAGGCCGTATATTTCCTCGGGTACTCCAATTGTCAGCGGGTCATTTTGCTGTAAATGACGTCATTTGGCGGTTTATTCAAAATGGCGCCTTTCAATAATCTAAATAAAATAAATAAATATTTGGTATGGTTGATTTATATCCGCAAGCGTACGAATTTCAGGAAAAAGCACGGGAAAAAACTCCTGAAAAGCAAGTCATGGACTGATGCAAGGAGTAAATCTCTACTTTTTTTCATGAATGCGATTTTGATAGCTATTAACAGTCGTCGAACGAGGGCATAATGGATGAACCCACGATCACTTGCTTTGTTTGATATGGTTGATTCGGATTTTGACGATGACCTTTGGTATACAAATTTCAGAGTAACAAAAGAAACATTCAATTTTCTTTTAAATGAAGTTAGGCATAGCATACTGCACAAAAAACTTCCATGCGATTAGCAATAACGGCGAAGAGACGACTTGCGCTTACGTTGTACTACCTTGCGTCCACAGCAGAATATAAAACAATAGCAAACTTATTTGGAGTTTCTCGATCGTTTGTGTGCATATGCATCAGAGACGTAAGTCGTGCTATTACAAAACGAATGTCAAAGTTTATTACATTTCCACGTGGACAAGACATACATCAAGTTATTGATGGATACTACCGAAAATGGGGTTTTCCTATGTGTGCTGGGGCAATAGACGGTACTCACATCCCAATAATTGCACCCACTGAGAGCCATGAAGATTACGTAAATAGAAAAGGTTTTCACATAAATCATGCAAGCTTGTGTTGATTGTAATTATTTGTTTCGTGATGTTGTCATTGGATGGCCTGGTAGCGTTCATGACGCACGGGTTTTCTCAAATTCTGCTATTTACAAGCAAGGCAACGAAGGTAAACTGTTCCCCCTGATCTTAAGAAAGAAATAAACGGAGAAGAATTATCCCCTGTCATTTTGGCGGATCCTGCGTACCCATTGCTGTCGTGGCTCTTAAAAGGTTATCCTCTTAAAGGTGTTTTAACTAGAAAACAAAGAGTCTTCAACTATCGTATAAGCAGAGCGCGAATGACAGTCGAAAACACATTTGGCAAATGGAAAGGCCGCTTTATCAGATTTAGTAAGCGGGTCGATATGAATGTGAAGAATTTGGTGATTCTTGTGTTGGCATCTTGCATTTTGCATAATATTTGTGAAGTGCAAAATAACAACTTTCTGCCACAATGGGAAGAAAACGTTGACCAAGAACTTGTGGTACCAACCAGTGATGTAATTGAGGACGATGGTGAAGACATTCGAGAAATATTAGCTGACTATTTTGACTCACAATGAAATATTCAAAACATTTAATTAAGTTAATTATTGCAACATACAACATAAGATTCATGAGTGTTCAAATATTGTATTTAATGTTCAGATAGTATTAAACAGTTCCACAAATATAACTTCAAAACAGAACTAAAAGACTCAAGTGACCATAAGTACTTAAAAATAAATACTTTTCAAATACTTTAAATCATAACCTGAAATATGTTTTTCTTCATCATCATTGCTGTCTCTGAAGCTACAGCCTGGAGTTTGGATACTGGTGCAGCCATTTCCAAATGTCTGTTGTTGAAAACTTACATATGGTTGGGCAAACATTCGTGATGAGCTGCCAGTAGATTGGATGTTCTGGGTAGCCTGGTTCCCAAATAACAATTGGAAGATCTTTAGCTCATGCTCTCTTTCCTGGTTTCTTCGTTCATTCTCGAGTCGCATTTGCTCTAATTGAAATTGCTGCTCTTTTTCCAATTTAAATTCTTCAAGCTTTTTATACCTACAAAATTATAATCAAATAATGATTGTGACAGACATTGTCAAAGCTGAATACATCTGAGGGGTAGATGTCCAAATCAAAAGTTTCTGGTATTTTTTACCAAAAATTCAAAACATACAAGCAATATATAAAGAAGGTGAATATACCTTTCAAAATCATCATTTGACATTGCCCTGAATTGTTCCAGGACAGCATCCATGCTCTTTTCAATAGAACTCCTTTTTTTCTTTTGTTTCTTTCCTAGTTTGTAAGTGTTTCCAAGACTCTTTTCTCCTAAGTCTGGCTTTGGTTTGTCATTCCCTTTATCATATTCAATAGCTCGATTCTCAGCTACAGTCTGTTGATTTACTTCCACATTAACTAAAGTTTAATTAATTTTAAAAACAATTACTAAATAGCTGGAGCACATATCTTGTTTTGATGAAATAACAAACAGAAATTGTCTTCCATACAAATGTTACCTGTTTCAATTGAACTGTCACAATTTGGGCAAGAAAATGGTTCTTCTTCACAGTATACCATCCTACATCCATTCTCTGTTGTGTGTGCTCCATCACTATATAACTTTTTCATAATCACATGTCTGGCATTTTTTGATGGATTTATCACCTCTACCATACTTACTGACAATATCTTTAAGATTAAAAGCAAAAAATGTTTTGTGACAAGATCATATTATCATCATTAAGCAAAATGTGAAAACATTTCATTTCAAAATAATACCATTAATGATGTCATCATTTTCATCATCAACATCATCTCTCAACATGTCCGACTGACTATTTTTTTGACTATCAGCCTCAGCCATGATGTCAAGTAAAACCACTGGAGTCACATTAGGTCTTTGGGATAAAAATCTATCCAACTGTTGAAAGTATTTCCATGGCTTTTCTCCCCATTCTCACTCTTCTTAGCATTGTCTTTTCACTTTTATATTTTTGCTTCAATTTCTTAATTTTATTAATTACTTCTTTTAGTGTAATATCTTCATAGCCTCTTTCTTGTAATTGCTCCTTTAAAATGAATAACATGTTGCACATTTTTTAAATAACAATAATGCATTGAACCAAGCAAAATAGTAATGCGTTCGTGGCAATTTATTCCTACTATGTAGGAAATATAAGTTGTAAATGGACAACTTACAATAACACGCACTGTCAATAAAGGTTATAGATACGTAAACGTACAGCCTCAATGGCATCAATGAACTATTGAAAGGTGCAGTATTCATATGTTGTACTATGCCTGGCTAATTTCTTTTGAATAGGATACCACTTTCAAAAAAAGAGCTTGGCATAGCAGAATACATGAATATGGTCCGCCAAATAACGTTCCACTAACGCCAGTGCACAGCGTATGTAAAATCTATACGAGTCGATTCACAGTCGAAGCTAATACAATATGTCTGTTATCACAATAAAATGGCTTACCAATAAGGACTTGTAAACCTTGCTTTTATCTTTGGATGCTTTTGAATTACCCAATGCAATTTGTATATTTTCATCGCACCAAAGAGTTATTAGACTTCTTGTATTTTCATCACTCATTTCATGCATTTTGGTGTCGCCGCCATCTTTGTTTAATTTAATTCCCGCCATTTCCTTTTCGCGCTTATTATTGCTCATTTTGCTGATATAGCTAAAAACTCGGCACGGTGCCGCTTTTTTGACAGGCCGAGACTACCTCTTTCGGAGGTCCCGGCACGCTAAAATTTCAAGGCACCCGGTCCTTAAATTTTAGGTCTGCTATCCGTTTACACGAGAAAAATTTGGAGAGCCGCACTCAAGAAAACAGGTTCGCGTACCTAAAATTTGGAGTGCAGTGCCAAAATTGATTACCGTGTAAACGGGCCTTACGTCGCCTAAAGAACTTGGCACAGACCTAGACACAAACAATGACGTCGAGTGAGAGTGATGTGTCGTCTGCTATGTTGGATTCCAGCGACTCAGGTGAATATCATTTCACTTCTGAATATTTACAGTATGAAGGTGAATCATTAGTTCCTATAGGAGACGATATGATAGTAGACAGATGCGAAGGAACGGCAAATCGAGCATATTCTTGACAATACGAGAACCAGTCTGACTATCGCAGCTAATCACACTATCGTTACGTCATCATCTCTACCGCAAGCTACATTATGTACCTTTCATCGCCTTGTACCTCGATTTAAGAATCATTTCGTATTTCTGTTTACTGTTATCAAAACCTTCAAGGCTATTCACAAATCGCTTTGCGAAATAACTTTCCTCGAAATGAATGAGGCACAGGTATTTTCTTAACGAATATTCTGTTGGGTTAAAGCAAAGCCAGTGCCTTTGACAAAAGCGTACCCACTGCTTTCGAATAGTCGGATCTTTTGGAAAGCAATGCATACCAATACATGGTGCATCACGACCATTTGGTCTTATTCAGTCATCCAGCAATTCAAAACGACTTAAATTTTCTATTCTCCTCCTCATTAGAACAAAATAGATGTCCTGTCTCCATTATGCGCGCATATCTATGACGTTTACGCTGAGAAAATGATGTCGATAAAAATTGCCTTTTGCAAAAATGGCACTAGCTTAAAAACGTTTCAAAACTGATCTCGATGGTTTGAGTGATGTACTTTTGTTATGAGAAAATGCTATTACTTTTGTGTGAGAAATTTGAAAGAAAATAAGAACCTCAACTCAAAGCATCGAGGTCAGATTCAAACAGAGGCGTCGCCAGGCTGTCTGCACTAGGGTGGACAATACAACTGTCAAATGTGTGACACTTCAATGGGAGCTTAGAGCCATATGCTCCCCCTCAGTTCCCTCCATAGCGACGGATTTATATACTATTTACATGTAAAAAGAACTTACACACCAGGGGACGGGTCAAATCGAATTTTATCAGATCGCAGGTATGATAATATCTAACGTTACCTGAATATTTATCATGTGATTTTTTCCCAAACAGGCGCACCAACCACCATAAAGAGTTCAAACTTTACCGGTTTGTCCACTCAAGTTCCCATATCCTTAGTGCCGAAAAATTCGACGAAAGATTATGCATTCTCGGACGAGGTTGTCATTATCGCGGTTATTGTCCCAGTTGTCATCATTATCGTGCTGTTGGGTATGGTTTGTATCTACAAACATCGAAAGAGCATGAAGTTCACCAATGCAAACGACATCACAATGACTCCAATTTCAAAGTAGGCAGAATAATTGTTTTGCTTGCATACAAAATATATTACTTTGATGACATACAAAAATGAATTACGTCACTAATAGCACGAATTATTGCGTTAACAGCTAACCCTATAAGTTCAACAAACGGAACTGAAATTTTCAGTGACAATCATTGCAACTACAACTTCACAAAGAATACACATGCTTGGCGCAAAATTTTTACTGCTGAACTATATCAACATGACATACTAATCACTAAAAGCATTATTGAATGTATTCGTGTTTCATGTATATATATATATATATATATATATATATTTATCAGTGTACACACTTTCCACCCACACAAATTATGTTTAAGTTAAACTATACATAAAAATGCTATACATTAGAATGCTATACGTAAGAATGTTATACGTAAGCTTAAGCTATACATCAGAATGAAATAACTTATACCATTGATACATTCGTGTGTCATACGTCTATAACAGCGCAAAGTGATTTGAGTAAGGCGCTTGATAAAGACATAAACTTCTCATACTGACCAAATAATTGTTCAAAATAATTTTGTTTTGGCTGAAAGTATGACGTATGTAAGGTCATTAGAAAATAGCCTTTCCATAGCTCATAAAACCACACAATCAATGTCCCAAACCAGTAAACCTAATTTAAATTATCTTTGAATGTTTCACAAAACAGGAGTGCATGTGAAAATGACGAGAGGAGCAAAATGGAAATTTGATGCATTCTCTTGAAAAAATGTGGCGAACAATGTGTGATCGTGTGTGGGAACTTTTCAGAATTAATTTACAGAAAGAAATCTCTAAAGCTACATTAAAAAAGAATTGCCTATACTTAAAGTGTCTCCAATACAATTTTTTTCCGTCCTATTACATATTCCATTTATTTAAGGTAAATACATGATTATTTTGCGTGATGTCACAAGCATATTATTTTCTTTAGAAGCTAGACAATTGAAATGACAATTTAGCCATTTTTAAATTGCCAAAAATTAAACTATCGTATAAATTTAAAGTCTGCTTTTTCAAGTACTCTAGAAATCATACAATGCTTTTACATCGCTAAAAAATTGTGTTAGAGGCACTTTAAAGAGATTAATTAAAAGCCAATTCAAATGAACGGGCTGGCAAAGTAAGACATTTTGCTCGCTTGACCAAGTAAAATTATGCATCAGCGATTCACTTGAGTTATCTATATTGAAATATTGCTGAATGAGCCATTAAGCACGATATTCGCCAACTTTTCAATTGGAAGAGTTTGCGGGGAAATGAAAAAATGGGAAAGTGATTATGCTAGAAGATTACTGTTTGGCTGGTTAATGCGAGATTTCGTCTCGTTCAGACGAGATCTAAAGAAGCAGGCTGGTCTGTTTCTTATACTGGTTGTGGGATCTCTTCTTGAACGGACTGATTTAAAAATGCATTTCATTTATTATAAAATATTGTACTTAATGCATGCTACCGAGCTCGAGGCGACTGAGATTTGTTGAAGAAATTTTGTTGCAAAATAAAGACCACGGCATTTTTTCGACTTTCGAAATGTGTTCTGAATCGTCTTTTCTATTAAAAATTGAATTTCATCGCTCAAAAATGTTGTTTCTTAGTTTTTGGTTCCATAACTGTTTTACTTGTTATGAGCGTAGGCAACAATTGCTAAATTTTGGGGTCGCTAAAGGCGATTTCTAGTGCCATACATTTGTACTTAAATTAAAGCATATAAAAAATCCTTTGTAATTCTGAATGTAATTAAAATTTGTTTGTAGTAAAAAAATTTTTAGTAAATTACTTTCTTGATGCCTGCTTGCACTTTTTGAAATTTTATACAATTTTAAATTACAGATAATGCAATGTCCTATAATAAAGTAGGAAACATATTAATAATTAGCCATTTTAAGGATATGGAAATAATAAGAATATACAAAATAAACTATTGAAGAATGGAAGCATTGAACTAAAGTATATGTAACGCTACCTGTAATACAAAACCAGGGTTGGGCAACATACGGGCCGGGTCCGGCCCCTGAAGAGATTTTGACTGGCCCACCGACTGTATCTGACCATTGAATATTGAATATTATTCATGTAATAATCCAGCCCACCAATAACCTCATTTTCTTAAATCTGGCCCGCCGACTGGAGAAGTTGCCCACCCCTGTACAAAACCCTAGTAAATTTTTTGAAGCCACGATTTTACCCCAGACACCGGGTGTAGTCAATCAATTATCACTCCACAAGAGAAACTCTAAACACTACACAAGCGTGTCTGAGGTAAAATCTCGCGTGTCTGGGTGTAAGATTTGGCTTCAATTATTTGCTTAAGATAGCGTTCGGTGTATTTTAGTTCAATGCAACGAAAGCTTACTAATTTATTCTAAAAAATTTGAATAACGTATATCACTAAAATATCATAACGCATCATTATTCAATCGTTGTTCAAAGTTTCATACACAGGCGATAGGTAATAGACGTGCAGTCAACTTTGCCTCAACATTGCGATGTAACATTTCCTCCCGGATTACCACAGTATTTTATACCAATCGTGGTACTAAACTTCTTTTGTAACGTGAGAACAACAGCTGCTCATGCAGACAAATTTTACATATTTTTAAGGAAATTACTTTTCGCAAAGTTATCAGCTCAGTCGATGTTAAGTCTGAGCAATCATTCCTTGCATATGGTTGCTGTAACTCTCAAAATAATTGAAATATCGGTAAATTTAGCTGAATTAATGCTTGCTACGTTTGCTCAAAGTATCAAGTTGACCCACTCTAGCCTAAGATGTTCATCTTCTCTCATCTAATTTTGATCTATGTCCAAATAAGAATTGTGCTCAGGACATGAAAAGAATATTCTGTTTGAATAAATCTACTAGTTAATAAATCAAAGATAAGAAAACACGTGACATGGATACAACAATTGCAAAGGAATAAAATGATACCTCGCACAAACTGTTTCACACGGCATGCGACACAAGCATAGTATAAAAAAGACAATTAAATTGAAGAAGATTAAAAGATTATTTAAAAGAATAATCCGATTTCAATGTTCTTGTGAATCGCTAGAACAAAATAAGCAGAAGTCTTGTCCTTTATTATTTTATTCTTGTGAACCATTACTATGACTGTGGTATTCAAATACTGACAAAATTTTGCTTTTGATACGATTAAGGGGTAATTGAGACACCCTTTGAAACCACCTGTATATACTCTACATGGTGGTATCAAAGAAACTGCTTTACTTTGAAATGTGGCGACATTTAGAATTTGCATGATTCAGCAACATATTACACAAAATTAAAAACGATAATACATACGAATTGTGGCTAGTATACATTGCAAATTTCAAACATGAAATTCATTTTACTTGCGTTTACACCTTCGTCAGGATCAATTATTCCCGAAACATGCAAATTGAAAAACGTCAATAGATTTCAAAGACAATCAGTATTTTTTGACAAACTCTTAACAGGGTGGGGAGGGAAGAATTGATAAATTTAAGAGCATGTTTGGCTTCCACGAAAAATCTTTTTGAAATAAATGTGCCAGTGCAACATATGTTCACACGAATCAACTGATATTCGCCTAATGTAACCTAAAATATTTGGTGTGCTAAACAATGGCTCTCTGACGGAAGTTTATATAACGTCATGACGATTTGTTTTCAAAGGTCACTCAATTGTCGGCTAATATCCTATTGCAACGTTTATCATTTCAGATTGGTGCACCAAATTTTATTGTCAATGCGAAAAATTAGCTCCAATACATTCATCTTCCTTCGACATCAATCTTAATGATGTTCAAATTGTTAAGATATGCTCTCATATTCTTCCCGTGATTAATTCAAGTGTAAGTAATTAGATGACTAATGTTAAGAGATACTTATAATGTTATCAAGACAATATTTTTTATAGTTCCTAGTAGTTTTCCGTTGACGTCAATAAACCATATTTGTTATAAGAACCCAAAATAATCTTACGTAAATTTTGTATAAATAGAAGTAGTTAAATCATTGTAAAATAGAAGACGTTGAACATTAGATGTGATCGTATAGTTATCTGTAACATTTGTTGGTGTAAGTCAAATTATATTAAAGAAGATAATGGCTACATCACAAAACCTAACAGGTTATGGGCCCAGGAGAGGAATTGTCTTCAATGGAGATGAAGCCAAGTATGAACTCTGGGAGGTGAAGTTTCTTTTGTTTATGAGAATACAGAAGCTGTACGATGTGTTCGTTCCTAGTCGAGATGAGGAAGGACGGATGAGGCGAGAAATGCAAATGCCTTCGCTGAATTGGTACAATGTCTGGACTATCGGAGTTTGTCTCTTATAATAAGAGAGGCAAGAGACGATGGTAGAAAAGCGCTTGGTGTTCTGCGTGAACATTACCAAGGCAAAGGAAAGCCAAGAATCATCGCTCTGTATACAGAATTGACGTCGTTAAAGAAAGGGGAAAACGAAACCACGACTGATTTTGTGATACGTGCTGAGACTGCAGCCACTGCTTTAAAATCTGTTGAGGAAGTGATAATTAAGCGATGGGCTGCTGATTGCAATGGTTCTGAAAGGGCTTCCGAAAAATTAATAAAACGTTTGCAACTGTGGTCATCCAAAGGAAAAACAAATGACTTTCAGTGAATTCAAAACAACGTTAAGAGATTACGACGAGAACGAAAAATCGTGTGAAAAAGATGAAACCGATCGAGTTATGTTTTCAAAACAGAATCAACGATTTGAAGGGAAATGTTTACGTGCGGCAAGAAAGGTCATAAAAGTTCAGAATGTTGGATGAAAAACGGAAAATGGTGTGCCAAGTGCAAAAGCAAGACTCACAATACAAATGAGTGCAAGACAACGAAAAAGGACGCAGTAAAGAAAGTTAAGGAGAAAACAACAAAAGACGAACTTTCATTTGCATTCACAACACAAGAGTACAAAGACAGAAAAAGAAGAAGCCAAGGAGATACAGACTTGTTAGTGGACACGGGAGCAACGAGTCACATAATTAATGACAGTTCCAAATTTGAAAGTTTTGATAAAAATTTTGATAGCAATACTCATTTTATTGAATTAGCTGATGGGAGTAGAGCTAATGTTGTATTAGGAAAGGGAAATGCTAAGGTTAAGTTATTTGATGTTAAGGGTAACTTGCATGATGTAATCTTGCATAACGCGCTCTATATTCCGACGTACAATCAAAATATCTTTTCAGTATCAGCAGAAATAGACGGAGGAGGCACAATAAAATTAGGAAAACAAGTAAGTGAATACAAAACAGAGGAAGGCAGCGTATTCAAACTTGAGAAGAAAGGTCGATTATATTACTTAAATAGTATTTCTTCGCCAAGCAACACAGCAACGACACTACACGATTGGCACAAGGTATTAGGTCATTGTAATTATGGAGACATTAGAAAACTAGAAAAGGTAGTCAAAGGCATGAAGATTACTGATTACAGCGAAATAGAATGTGAAGTATGTACCCAAGGCAAAATGTGTTGTAAATTGTCATGTTATGTTATGTAGTGTGTGACTGTGTCATATTTTTGATACTAAGATATAACGGATATTATGTTTATGTAAAATGATAAGTCATATATTACTAGACAAATACGTATATAGTTACTAAACTGTGGTTTCAGTGGAAATCCTGTACGTAAATTCAAAATACTTAGGAACACTTTTTCTACCTAATGTTGCATTGCGGTAGGATGTAGGTAATGACGGTACTCTATAAACGGAATGGCGTAGTGCAAGTCATGCAAACGCCCAAAAATCATATCCTAATAATTACACATAAATATAGCTTGCAAGCGTTGGTTCGGGGGTTCGGAAAAGTTGTAGTTGTTGGTGTATGAACTGGTCATACAAATTTGATGAATTAGAGTTGTATTGCAGAAGGCAATAAATTTCGAAAACGCAGTTGTAGGATTGACGGTTGTCCGTAATCTTAACGAGATCAAATCTAATCATTCCGTATCGCGAAGAACCAACGCTTGGAATGTAAAATCGTGCACAACACTGTAAATATCTTATTGAAGTGTTAAAATTATATATTCAAAATACAGTCCCATCGTTCGAGTGAAGTCTCGAGAACAGTGAACCAGCACTTCGCGCAGATTGTGCGAAACGTGGTCCTTCAAGCCGGATAGAGTAGCAGAATTCAAGAAGAACACAGAAATAGAATACAGGGTTGTTCACGATGTCAGAGCTGACAAGAAAGCGACAGTCGAGGAGTGGGCACAAATCGTACGCCACAAAAGTTGTGAACAAGGTGATAAGTATGTTAAACGATAATGCGCCACTAAGGAAAGTCGAACTGGAACAAATGCGGCTTGTGCTCGTACAGAAATTAGATACAATTTCGAAGTTGGACGATGAGATTCAGAGCTTGTTGGAAAAGGATGACGATATTGCAACAGATATTGACAGCTCATCGAAATACGGCTGCGAAGTTTTGGGCGCGTTGGCCGAAATCAACGAAGCGCTGAGCACGATGTATGTATGTCTCGGACAGGTGGTGGCTCGTTAACCCAGGAAGGTAGCCCACCTAGGGGAAGGAAAACCCTGACTTCAAACCTCCGCTGCCTTGCGGTGTACTCGCTCACGGGAAAGGCTAGGAGACGGATACTCCGAAGAAGAAAACTGCACCTGCTGGGGCCGCTCTACATGTGGCAGCTTCTGCACCTGTGGAGCATTGAGCGTCAGTAGGCGAGAGGGTGGAGATGGGCATGCACATCCCCTCTTCACCTAAAACATTCACCTGTGCTGGTCAGGCAAGCAGGTTTGCCGGAATCAAGTGATGCAACCATCCCTTTTTTTGCGCCAGCTATCTAAAGTCCTGTGGCGATGGAAAAATGGTGACGGGAACAGGCAGAGGATGCTCCTGGAAGTTCTTAGCCATGACTCTGCACGCAGGCGGCTGGGAATTGATGGTCGTCCGCCGTAAACCTAGGGCAGATACGGCGCCCGTATCCTCTCGCAGTGTCAGAGCAGCCCTCTTTAGGGTTAGCACTGCTCTCCCCACATGGGGAAGGGGAGATAAAAGGATCCCTAAACAAAGCCTGCCCTACTTGCACCTGGCAGGAACCACACCTACCTGGGCATCCAACTAAGCGGTCGTACAACTAAGGATAACAAAACAACAAAGCGCTTAACCATTGGGGCATGGAACGTGAGAACGCTGTTGGACAGAGGAGACAGACCAGAGCGACGCACTGCTCTAATAGCAAGGTTGCTTGGACAATACCAGGTGGACATAGCCGCATTGAGTGAGACCAGACTTGCAGATGAAACTCAACTGGAAGAGGTCGGTGGTGGCTACACCTTCTACTGCATTGGGAAACCGGAAAACGCCCCAAGACACTCCGGCGTGGGATTTGCCATACGCACTCAGCTCGCAAGGAGACTAGTTAGCTTGCCACAGGGCATCAGCGATCGCCTCATGACCCTGCGGCTGTAACTCCAAAAAGACTGCAACGCAACAATTGTCAGCGCCTACGCCCCTACAATGACAAACCCAGATGAAGTGAAGGAAGCCTTCTACGAAGAGCTCAACCAGCTACTCTCCAGTGTTAACCGCAAAGACAAACTCATCATCCTTGGAGACTTTAACGCACGAGTTGGAGTAGACTACACCATATGGCCAAACATCCTGGGTCGCCATGGAACTGGCAAGTGCAACTACAATGGCCTGATGCTACTATCTCTGTGCGCACAGCACAAGCTAACCATTACTAACACTCTCTTTCAACAAGCTGACAAGCTGAAGAACACATGGATGCACCCTCGCTCCAAACAGTGGCACATGCTGGACTACGTAATCGTCCGCCAGAGGGACCGCAGAGACGTGCACATCACACGCTGCATGCGTGGTGCCGACTGTTGGTCTGATCACCGCCTGCCACGGAGCAAGATGAACATCCAGCTCGCCAGAAAGAACAAATCAGCAAGAGAGAAGCCACTGAGGAAGTTGAATGTAACTCGCATTCCACCCAACAAAGAAGAGCTGCAAGAGAAGCTAGAGGTAGCCCTGGGAAACATTAACATCACGGGCGAGGATATAGAGAAAGACTGGAGCACTTTCAAAGAAGCCGTCTACAACTCTGCAGCGAGTGTCATTGGATACGTTGAGCGAAAACATCGAGACTGGTTTGACGAGAATGACGCTGATATCAACGGGCTTATTGACAGGCTCCATAAGGCTCACAGCGACCTTATAGGGGACAAAGCTTGCGAGAAGAAGAAGCAAGACTACCAACAAGTGAGGCAGCATGTGCAACACAAGCTGCGGGAAATGAAGAACGCCTGGTGGGAAAAGAAAGCCGAAGAAATCCAAGTGGCAGCTGATGCTCACGACTCAAAAAAGCTCCACGATGGGCTTCGCGCGGTGTACAGTCCAAAATCGTCAGGCTCTACCCCCATCAGGTCATTTCGCTATTCGCCAGTTGCAGGAAAAGTGCCGTGAGCAAAACAAGGAACTCCACATGGTCTTCGTAGACCTAACTAAGGCATTCGATACCGTTAATCGGGAAGGCCTTTGGAAAATCCTGGGAAAATTTGGGTGTCCAAAGAAGCTAGTCTCTCTGATAGCTTCCTTTCACGATGGCATGCAGGCAAGAGTCCAGGATAGTGGGGAGACATCGGACCCATTTCCTGTTAAGAACGGTGTGAAGCAAGGTTGTGTTCTTGCACCTACTCTCTTCTCCATCCTGCTCGCAGCGATGCTGCTCGACGCCTTCCGTGACTTCGACAAAGGGGTGTACATTCAGTTCCGTACTGATGGAAAGCTCTTCAACCTCAGAAGACTTCATGCCAAGACCAAAGTCTACGAGGCACTCCTGCGTGAATTTCTCTTCCCAGATGACTGTGCACTAGCCGCCCACTCCCATGAAGACATCCAGTGCATAAATGACCGCTTCGCAACTGCATGTGATCGCTTTGGGCTGACCATCAGCCTGAACAAGACTGAGACCCTGGTCCAGCTTCCACCATCCCTGACTCGTGACACCTCACAACCACCTCCTGTCATCGTTAACCACACCAACATCAAGACTGTTGACAAGTTCTGCTACCTTGGCAGCACCATCAGCAACAATGGTTCCCTGGACGCAGAGGTAACGCTGCGTATTGCAAAGGCCAGTGCTGCTTTCGGCAGACTAAAGAGAAGACTCTGGCAGGAACACGGCATCAAGATCGTCACCAAAATTGCTGTGTACAGGGCTGTGGTCCTGAGTGTTCTGCTGTACTGCTGTGAAACCTGGACCACTTATCGCAGACACATACAACAGCTGGAGCAGTTCCACCAGCGCTGCCTGAGAAAAATCCTCCGCATCAAGTGGCAGGACAAAGTGTCTAACCTTGTAGTCCTTGAAAGGTGTGGACTCTCCAGCATTGAGAGCTTGATCATCAAAGCTCAACTCCGATGGACAGGCCATGTCGTAAGGATGGATGACAGCAGAATCCCAACGATGGTGCTGTATGGTCAACTACAAGACGGGAGCCGTGTACAAGGAAGACCGCTGAAGAGATACAAAGACACCCTTAAAGCCAACATCAAGAGCTGCAATATAGACCCAAACACCTGGGAGGAGTTCGCGGGAGACAGACTGCAGTGGAGGCATTTATGCTCCCAGGGCGTTCGGAACTTCGAAGCCGGTAGAGCAGCCGCCATTAAGGAGAAGAGGGCTCGAAGGAAGCAACGCTCTGCCCCTCTTGTCTCGTACCCCTGCAGCGTTTGCGAACGTTCGTGTGCATCACAAATTGGCCTCCATTCACACATGAGGTCCCACTCTCGCAGATAGACCTGCATGCCTACTCATCTGTCGCCCCGACAGGAGAGTCCATACATACATACTGAGCACGATAGAGACGAACAAACGAAATGAGGAACTCGCCAACACATCGGCAAGTACAGTATTCAGTGGAGCACGCTGTAGAGTAAAGCTGCCTAAACTAGAGGTGAAAAAGTTCACGGGCAAGATACAAGATTGGCGTGAATTCTGGGACTCTTTCAAAAGTTCAATCCACAACAATGACGGATTGTCTGAGGTCGACAAATTCACCTATCTGAGGGGACTGGTGGAGGAGCCGGCCAAGTCAGCAATTTCGGGATTTGCTCTGACTTCGATTAATTATGCAGAAGCACTGAAGGTGTTAGAACGGAGATACGGGAGCAAAGTGATGGTGCAAAGGGCACACGTAAATGATTTGATGAACCTAAAGCCCGTGTACAGCGAGAATGATACGACAAGGCTGCGCAAGTTCTTTGATGCCTTGGAAACGAGTTATCGAGGACTCGAGTAGCTCGGTGTAAAGGAGGAAATGTACTGCGAGATAGTCGTGCCCAATCTTCTAACAAAGATACCGAACTTATTAAAACTGACGATTACCAGGGGAAGAGACTACTTAGAGTGGTGCATGAAAGATTTTGTCAACGCATTACAAGCCGAAGTGGAGCTGCGGGAATGCCACAAATTAGCGGTCGGAGATCAACGAAGAAGACGACGGAACCGGGAACAGCTAGCGGGTTGTTTGCCAGCCGCAACAACCGGTGTTTTGTGCTTTCTGTTGTGGAGAGCACAAGCATGAAGAATGTACCAAGGTAACAGGGCGGCAAGAACGGATGCAACTTCTTCGTAAGCTCAAACGATGTTTCATTTGTTTAAATAAAGGGACATTTAGCTAAAGATTGTCGTGCACGTATTAAATGTAGTGTGGGGAGGGTCATCATGTTTCCATATGTGATAAGAGTAATAATAACCAGAAGGATGAAAGAAATAGTCGGGAAGAAAGTGGACAGGTTAGTGTAGCTAATGTCCATGTTAGTACTAGAAGTAGAGTGGCTCTTCAAACTGCGCAGGGAGTACTTATAGGAAAGGGTAAGACAAGAGTGCGAGTGCTTTTCGACTCGGGAAGTAAGAAATCCTTTGTGACGTGTGACGCGAAGAGGAGTGCCAAGCTTAACATTGCTAGGCGAGAAAGGCTGGAAGTTAATACATTCGGTGGTGGAAGTAACAAAGGTAGAATGACAGAGGTTGTTCATTGCGAGGTATCGGCAGTTCGAGGAGATCGTAAAGTACGCGTAGAGGCGTTAGTAGTTCCTCATATTTGCACGATCAAAAATGAGCATCTTGAGGTAGATAAGAACAAGTATTCGCATTTGAAGGATTTGTGGTTGTCAGACGTTAATTTGAAGCAGGACACGTTAGATGTTGATGTTTTGATAGGTGCGGATAACCTTTGGGCATTTCAGCAAGGTGAGATAATTAGGGGCAAGGATGACGAACCCGTTGCCATCAATACTTGTTTAGGTTGGGTAATAAGCGGTCCACTGAAAGGGAGCTCAAACTTGAAAAACGCACACGTTAATTTAGTTTCGCAGATTGCAACACAAAACGCAGACAGCATTAATGGGGATGTGAGTAAATTGTGGGATTTAGAAACGCTTGGAGTAAGGGAGACTAATGACGTGCATGAAGCATTGCTTGACAAAATAGAGTTCAATGGGTCAAAATATGTAGTAAAATTGCCATGGAAACAGGGTCACGAGCACTTACCGTCAAATTATTCAAATAGTTTAGCACGCATGAAAGGGCAGATAAAGAGGTTGTCGAATGAGCCAACATTGTTGAAAGAATATGATAAAATTATAAAGGAACAGCTAGAAACGGGTGTTATAGAAAGGGTAGATGAGTCTGAACCTGGGGTAAATGTTCATTACCTTCCCCATCAAGCCGTAATACGTAAAGAGGCCAAAACAACCAAATTGAGAATTGTTTATGACGCATCGTCAAAAGAGGGTAAGAGAGGGACTTCTTTGAATGACTGTCTTCATGTAGGACCACCACTAACGCCGTTGTTGTTTGACATATTAATCAGATTTAGGGAGAGCAGAGTGGCCTTGGTAGGAGACATTGAGAAAGCCTTTTTGAACGTAGAAGTAGACGAAGCAGACAGGAACTATTTGAGATTTTTGTGGGTGAGAATGCGACTAATGGTAATTTAGAGGTTGTAGTGTATAGGTTTTGTAGAGTAGTGTTTGGACTAAATGCATCGCCCTTCTTGCTTAACGCTACGCTTAGACATCACATTGCGCAATTTGCAGAATCAGATCCAGTGCTTGCTCAGAAATTGAATGAGGGTTTTTACGTGGATGATCTAGTTTCGGGGGGCAAGAGCGCACAGGAAACAATCGAGTTGTACGAGAAAGCGGAATTTAGGATGTCCCAAGGCGGGTTTAAGTTAAGAAAATGGCTTACGAATGATGGAAACGTGCGAGCGCTTATAGAGCAACGTGAATGCGGAAACAAAGTGACGACGACTACAGATTCAGACGACGAGACATTCACACAATGGAGTTTGGGGGCTCTAAATAGCAATGACTGCGCAAAAGTTTTAGGTATAGGCTGGGATTGGGACAATGGCCTGTTTACGTTTGATCTACGAAAGTTTGTAGAAGACTTAGGTGATAAGACGAAACTAACAAAGAGAAGCCTGCTTAGCGCATTAGCAAAGATATTTGATCCGTTGGGTTTAATTAGAGCCGTTATTATTTTAATGAAGATTTTGTTTCAACAATTGTGTGTTGATAAGGTTGAGTGGGATGACAAAATAGAGGGTAAGCACGCAAAGATATACTTAGAGTGGATTGAGGATTTAGTTAGGGTTCAAAGAATTAAAATTAATAGATGCGTTTACAGTGAGGTAATCGAAAGGGTCGAGTCGTGCGAACTCCATGGATTTGGCGACGCAAGTGAGAAGGCTTATTGCGCAGTAGTGTATTTTGTTTGTCGCACAAGCTCTTCCGTTTATGTAAAATTATTGGCAGCGAAAACTAGAGTTGCACCCCTTAAGAAACTGACGATTCCACGTTTAGAGCTTATGTCTGCGCTTATGTTAGCTAAATTGGTAGAGTCAGTAGGGAAAGCTTTAGAAGGGCAGGTAGGAAAATTGAAGTCAAGATATTGGTTAGATAGCATCACTGCTTTGTATTGGATTCAGAATAGAGGTGAATGGAAGCAGTTTGTGAGACATAGAGTGAATGAGATACTATCATTGACGAAGAAGAAAAGCTGGGGGCATTGTCCAGGGGTAGAAAATCCTGCAGACTTAGGTAGTCGGGGGGTGTTTGCGTCAAAGTTAGAAGAGGATTCAATTTGGTGGAATGGACCAAATTGGTTGAGCAGTCTAGAGCAGGAATGGCCTCAGTCTGTAGTGAGTAAGACCGAGGAAAGTGTTCAAGAAGAAAGAAAGGTGGCTGTGTTAGTAGTAGACGCTAGTGAGAAATTTGGTATAGACTAGATTATCTGTATAGATAGATACAGTAGGGTGGAAAGGTTATTTCGTGTAACGGCATGGGTTGCACGGTTTGTCAGGAATTTGATTGCTAGGATCAAAGGGAAGCATGAGGATTCGACTTTCACGGAGTTAGGGAGTCAGGAGTTACAGAAAGCAGAAAGACTTTGGATAAAGGCTTCACAGGACAAGTTAAAGAAGGAAGATAAGTTTAAGCAGTTAGAGGTACAGCTCAACGTAGTAGAAAAGGATGGGTTGTTAAAATGTCAGGGTAGGCTAGCAGAGTCAGATTTGGAAGAGGAAACGAAATTTCCTACTTTACTACCAAAGGAAGGTCGATTGACAGAATTAATAGTTGAGCATAGTCACAGGAAGGTACATCATAGTGAGGTAAGGGCAACTTTGGCTGAGACAAGGTCTAGATTTTGGATTGCCCAAGGAAGACAAAGGGTAAAATCAATTCTCAACAAATGTATCGTGTGCAAGAAATTAGAGGGTAAATCATACAATAGACCTAGCCAAGCAAACCTTCCAGCATTTAGAGTAGAGCAATCAGAACCATTTTCGAAAACAGGGGTAGATTTTGCAGGACCATTATATGTGAAAAATGCATCGGGGGGCACAGATAAGGTTTATATCGCATTATTTTCATGTTGTCTAACTAGTGCCTTACATTTAGACTTAGTTAAAGATTTGTCTGCGGATGAATTCATGAGGTGCCTAAGACGATTTTCAGCGAGAAGGGGGACCCCATCATTAATGGTGTCAGACAATGCAAAAACATTCAAAGCAACAGTCAAGACTTTAGAAAACCTCTATAAAAATGAAAGAATGCAAGGGTATTTGGGAAACAATAGGATAGATTGGAAATTCAATCTAGAAAGAGCTCCCTGGTGGGGTGGATTTTTTGAAAGGATGGTTAGGTCAGTGAAGAGGTGCTTGAAGAAGGTATTAGGGAATGCAAGGTTGACATTTGACGAATTATTGACAATATTGGTAGAAGTCGAGGCAACATTAAATTCTAGGCATTGACTTACACGTACGACGAGGTGGGTAGTGAACCACTAACTCCGTCGCATTTGGTGACGGGAAGAAGGTTGTTGTCAATGCCAGACGAAGGGTCTGGCGAAGAGGAGTCTGACGAGGGTTACTGTAAAAAACGGTATCAGTATTTGAGTAAGAAAAAATGCATTTCTGGAATAGGTGGCGTAAAGAGTATTTGGTTGGTTTAAGGCAGTTTCATAAGCAGGACAAAGACAATACTAATAGGGTAGTGCAAAGGGGAGATGTCGTGACTGTTTATGAGGATAATGTCAAAAGGGGAAATTGGAAAACAGGTGTAATAGAGGAGTTGTTTGAAGGAAAAGATGGTGTGGTTAGAGGCGCTAAGGTTCAGTTAGTTAGGAACGGTAAGGTCGTTCACCTTAATCGTCCCGTCCGAAAACTCTTTCCTACCGAGTTGAAGCACGACGAAGGCGAGTATGAGCGAGAAGAGAGAGAGAAAGGACTGAAAGGAAGGAAGGTAGAAAATACGGGCAGACCCAAAAGAGCTGCTGCTCTTTATTCTGTCTGGAAGACACAGAATATGCTTGATTAGTGGGACTAATCAAGGTGGGGAGTGTGTTGTAAATTGTCATGTTATGTTATGTAGTGTGTGACTGTGTCACATTTTTGATACTAAGATATATCGGATATTATGTTTATGTAAAATGATAAGTCATATATTGCTAGACAAATACGTATATAGTTACTAAACTGTTGTTTCAGTGGAAATCCTGTACGTAAATTCAAAATACTTAGGAACACTTTTTCTACCCAATGTGGCATTGCGGTAGGATGTAGGTAATGACGGTACTCTATAAACGGAATGGCGTAGTGCAAGTCATGCAAACGCCCAAAAATCATATCCTAATAATTACAAGTAAATATAGCTTGCAAGCGTTGGTTCGGGGATTCGGAAAAGTTGTAGTTGTTGGTGTATGAACTGGTCATACAAATTTGATGAATTAGAGTTGTATTGCAGAAGGCAATAAATTTCGAAAACGCAGTTGTAGGATTGACGGTTGTCCGTAATCTTAACGAGATCAAATCTAATCATTCCGTATCGCGAAGAACCAACGCTTGGAATGTAAAATCGTGCACAACACTGTAAATATCTTATTGAAGTGTTAAAATTATATATTCAAAATACAGT